ACCAACAGTTTTTCTTCATCCGTGCTTGGGAGAATGGACGCCGCTGGGCTGAAATTCTGACAGACCATGGTATTCAATCCATAGAACTTTCAAGCTTCTTGGATATGTGCAGAGATCCCAAATTGCTGGGTTGGAACTTTGGTATTCCAGAACCTCAGTGGGATAAGTTTGGCAACACAGTGGAGGAAGCATTCAACAATCCTTTATTTGCCAAATTGCACTATCGATTCGAGCAGGAGGAAGAGATTGGTCGTGTCATGCACCTTGTGTCAGAACTTGTTTGTGACTTTTTCATCAAGGTGCTTCCCAAGTGGGTTCTTGACCACTCGATCTTGTGGGAAGAGTTTATGATCTTGGATCCAGACACAAATCTCCCAGCCTACAAGACTTCAGAGGCCGCCTTACAAGCAGAAAGGAATCCAGAGAAGTATCATACACATTTTGCTATGAACTTCAAGAAATTCCGTTTTTCTGCAAGGATTGTGTGGTATTTGATTGACCGTGACAGGAATCATTTAGAGAGTTTTCTTCACAACTCCAACAGTAGATTTGTGCAACATGCATGCTATCAACTTCGTGAGTATGTTCAGGCGCGTGTTGCAGTTTCTGATCCCTTGTATGAGATGATCAAGAAGGAAGAGTTTGAACGCCAATACAATTCCAAGTTTTTGGAGGCGATTTCTTGCTCTCGTGTTGTAGTTGAGCCTGTAAGTTCAGGGACGTATGAGCCATCATCGAAGCTGAACTTAAAGGTACTACAAGACATCCTGAAGGGTATCTTCAAGATCCAGAAGGATGAGGAGCTTGCCAAAGAACGTGATGAAGAAGAAGAACAGGCAGCTCAAAACATCTCATACCTGTTGGCAGATGATATGGAGCTTGATTTTGATGATGATGATGTTCCAGTATGGCGCTCCATTGTCGACAAGTATAGAGGAGGTGATCAGGTGCTACAGGGAGAAGCTGTGAAGATTACTCACCTGTTCAGGGATCAAAAGGACAATGAGAAGGCGACAGAAGCTTTCAGTTCAGAGAGGACAGATTTTTATGAGACCTCAGGACCTCTTCCAAGAACCGAGGGAGAAAATCTTGTAGAGGACTTGCTCACCAAGGATGTTGCAGAACAAGCTTTTGAAGCAGGTGAAGAAGTTCCTCCTTATACAAGAGTCTCCACTATCGCTGGTGAGGTCTATACTGGAAGTAGGACACTTCTAGAAGATGAGAATATGGAAGAGGAAGTTCCTGAAGAAGATCCTGCAGTTGAACCTGGAAAGGAAGAAGAAATATTTGATGAGGACGCAGGTGTTTTTCCTTCAGAGGAACCAAAGATGGAAGTGGACCAGGAGGAAGCCAAGGAAGAGTCAACACCATACTTTCTGTCAAGAGAGATAGGTGAGGACTCGACTGCATCGCACTTACCATCAGGTGAGATGGATGCTAACCTTGATGATACTCTACGTCTGCCGAAATCTAAGAAAAGCCGCCTGAATAAAATACCTGATCCTCATTTTCATGAAGAGGTTCAGGATGATGCAACCATGGAAGAGAAGAAAGAGGCGGTGGAGAAAATAAAAGAGGTCAGAGAGGATGATGGAGAGAAGAAATTGGAGGCTGAAATCCAGGAATCTTTTCCATCTGAAGTAGTTGTTGAAAAGGATACAACAAAAGTTGACAATACCTATGAGTTGCATACTTCACCTTTGAAGTTGCTTGGAGAGCTTACAGGAGATCCAGGTATTGGCCTTTATCAACAATGCTTCAGGGAAACTCACGCAAGATTGCTGAATCATGTTTGTTTCAGAAAAGGTGAGATTTCCCATCCTCATTATCAGTCAAGGATCAACGAGAATGATTTTGTTCGATCCATTCGTAATATCTGTCCAGTACCTCCACCTGATTGTTATGAACATGAACCAGAGCATGATTTGAAGAGATTCTTTATCAATGATGATCGCATCATTTATTTGGATGGCAAGTATCAGGTCGATCCAAAGGCCCTTGAAAGGGCAGGTCATGCTCGAGAAGAATTGGAGGATACGAAAAAGGAACTCAAGAAGGAACTGGAATCATATGGTCCCAAGGGACCCAGTTGGGACTTTGTCACCTTCTATGAAGAGCTGTGCAGAAGGTTCCTCAAGGGAAGAATAGAAGAACCATATGGAACTAACTTATTGGCCAGCTCAGAGTCCTTGACATTTTTATCCTGGAACTATGGCAACATGGTTCGTGGTCAGAAGTACACCACACCAAGGTTTCTCCAAGGACTTGATAGTGCAATGAGGCCACGCAAACAGAGCGCCATGTCACTTCAGAATGAGCAATTTGAGAACAACCTTTTCTTCAACATGCTCTTCTTTTTACGTGCACATGTCGTGATTCTCCAGGAAGCTCATCTTCTTGTTCCTGCCAAGGAATTTATTGAGCAAAAGAATTGGACAGTTTGTTTCAATGATTGGGAGAATCTTGCAGTGATGGCTAGATTGGCACCAGGTGGATATGTCAAGATCATTGCTGGACATGATCAAGAACTTGGTCATTGTGAACAGCGTGATGTAACTTGGGCTATCTACGAGATTTGTTTTGGAGAAACAAGGCCTCGTCAAGATTTCAAGGATGCAGACTTTGAATTTGATGACTATGGTCCTGAGGACAAGCGTGTTCCACTTACTCGAGCGAACATGCACACCATCAGAGTCTGTAATTATCGTGTTGATACACACCGTGCTGTGGATGCCCACCTACTGACAGGAGAACAGACAGCATTGATGCTTTACGAGTGTTTTGTCTATGAGGTGGACATCATTTCTGGTGATGCAAATAGTTTGGCCTACAGAATGTCTGGGTACAAAAGGCAGCCAATGGCTAACTACTATTACAGCACCATGCAGCATTGGATCCGCAGGTTTTCAGAAGCTCGTGTAAAAGCAGATCCTGGTATCAAAGCACCAATTCCCAGAACATTTTACAGTTCAACTTCACAGGTCCTCAAGAAGTGTGAAGTTTACTTTGATAAACTCTGGGAAGAATATTCTACTGTTGAAAAAGAAGAATACCAAGGATCACAGCTTGGCGATACATGTTTGTCTACCATTGTTGAATGGGGTCATTCAATGAGTGAAGAGGAATATGAAAATTCCACAGTGAGCACGAAGGAGTTCATCTGTAATTTTTCAGAGAACTTTGCTACGACTGACACGGAGGTTATGTGCTCAAGGCCCACTGACGAGGACAGTCATGGTCCAATGTTTATTTCACTCAGACCAGCTTCCTTTTCATCTGGAGACAGAAGACAGTATCGCATGGGAGCAACTCTTCATGAGGCGAAACTGCGGAGGAAGGAGAAACAGAAAGAGAATAAAAGGAAAGGAAGGCCGCCAACTTCTGGTCAAGCAGCTTCATCGTCTGCAGCGGCATAATTCCTGAGCGAAGGCTGAAATTTAAATGATGGCTAGGAAGTGATGATACTTCTGGTTACAGTTGATACTTTGCTTCCAGGCTTGACTTTAAGTTGCCGGGCTGAAGTTTTAAACTTTAGCAGGTAGATATGGACAGTTTTGCATAACTGATGGTATCTATCACCGCCGCTTTTTCTGAGATGACCTCTAATGGACAACCATTCATGGTTGATGATTAAGTCATTTCATGATTTGCAATTGTAGTGCAAGATTTTTGTACATACATTTGCCGGTATCTCCTTCTTGTGTTTTTGATGTCAATGAGAAAGAGTCCTTTTGATGCAGTCTTATTTTGTCTGTGGATGAAAGCGGTCGAGACCACGTCACGAGAAGATTATTCCTCGGACCGTACGCTCCTTGCATTTTGCAAGGCATTTTAATTAATTGCATTTGCGCGGTCTTGAATTTGTAGTTCTTTGTTACGCGAGTGTCGTTTGATTCTTTTATAGGTCTCTGTAGAGAAAAAGCCGCTTTCCCTTTTTAGTTTGATTTAGCTCAGGCCATAAAGAGCTAGTGAGCGCCGGTACATGGTATCTCCGCCTGTGAAAAGTACAGTCTCCAGCCGAGGTACATTATCGTTTTGATTTTGTACTTGAGGTGAGTCAGCTATTGCTCCCTCACTGTATTTAGTAGCTTTGAGATTACCTTCTCTATAGTGTGAAACACACTGGATTAGGTAAGTACATGGCACCGTAGTTTTCTTTTAAGTTGTCAGAGCTAGCTGGACTGTTTTAGCCTTGCAGTAGAAAAAGAGTATGCGACATACGCAATCAGCTAGGAGTGGACATGAATCTTGTGCCTGCTGAAAAGTAGAGCCTACCTGTACAGGGCTCCACTCCAACAGCCGATATAGTGTGTCCATGCTTGACTGCTTCAAGGCTCAAAGAGCAAGAGGATAAGACTCTGCGCATAAAAGACACTAGCGGTCTGCACCTCTACCGTGTACGCCCTAGTCACTCTTTCACCCCCCGCCCCCTTGGAATTGATTTTCAATACAGCCCCCCCCCTTCCCCCCCTCTAAAATCAATTCTCTCCTGGAGAACGCCTTCGTGAGCCTCTCATGATTTCAGGATAGTTGAAACCCTCTTGAACATTCAGAAAGAGTGAATATGAAATTCTAATCACGAAAGGTGTTCCCCGAGGGGATACATACCTAGAGTTCGATTTGTGAAGCACGTCAATTCTCTCCTGGGGAGCGTCTTCGTGAGCCTCTTATGGTTTCAGGATAGTTCAAATCCTATGATGTTCCGATTCAATGCTCACCGATGATCTGAGCCATGGGGCAAGTTTGTTTTCCTAAGATTTTTTTGAACATTTCAAGAGCACATGTTTGAACATTTAAAGCATATGAACATATATTTACGAAAGATCGCCTCCGAGGGGATAAATCACCATGTCGAACATTGCATTTTTGTTCCTGCCTCTCGCGTTCTCTTCTCTTCCCGCTGTCCTACCTTTCGTGTCTCCCTCCTCTCAAGTTGGACATCCCTTGGATGGTCCTGGTATTGTCACCTTAGTATATCTTAGCCATTCCCTCGCCGCTAGGGTTACGAGAAGAGGATAGAGAAGAGAACAGTCTCCGCTGCCGGTGGAGAAATCAAGGCATGATTTGTTCTTGCGGTTTGAGTTGTGTGCTTCAGTGTTTGACATTGTGAGAGACTTGAGGCCCTCAATGTGATGTCGGTAGGTTGCATTTTTCTTGTGCTAGGTGGACAAACGCAGAGAACTCATTGTAAGGCGCGGCATGGAACAGCAGCTTGTTGTTTGATAGTTCAGCATTCCCAAGCAATATCCAAGCAAGTGTGCACACGTCAAGGCGCGCTGCCAAAGAATTGAAGGATGGCATGTATGTCAACCTTGGCATCGGCATGCCAACGTTCCTTGGCCCATGAGGGATTCAGAAACCCGAGAGTCCCAATAGATCGCCAAGTTCCGGCTGGATTTTCTTCCCATCACCTGTAACCCTCTTCCATCGTTCCTGTCCATTCGCCTTCCGTCAAGGGCAAGCGGCTCACGCCGAGGCTGGTGAGCAACTACACAGCCCCGGGCGTCCGCATCGAGCTGCAGAGCGAGAATGGACTCTTGGGCATTGGCCCCTACCCCTCCGAAAGCGAGGCAAGGAGTTCGTAAAAAGGGCGTTCAGCGTTTGGGTCTTTGTGCATTTCGGCGATTGGTGGTTGACATATATGGTTGGAATCCGAAAGTGCACGAAAGCTATTAATAGCTATTTTGTTCGTATGCATTTCGGCCTTGCTGAGTGTACCCACGTTCACTTTCAGACATTTCAGGTGAACCCCGACCTCATCAATGCGGGCAAGGCTTGGGGGCTTGGCTTGGGGGTTCTTGGGGCCCATTTCAGCGGTGCGATGTCTCAGGGGAGATCCCGGTTGCCAGCTATATCCAAATTGAAGTTGACGTGAGAGGAGATCCACACACCCATCCCCCAGACTCACCACACATCCACTTGGCTCTCACATCTCCTTAATATGTTATTTCATTTGACATTAAGTTATGACACGTTTTGACGACCTGGCCGCCATGCCTCCTCCAGCTCGTCGTCCTCCCGTTGTTCGTTCGGCGTCCCCAGGAGACCGTGACCATGATCCCCGGCTCGTCGCTCTTTTCCTCCTCCGAGTCCTTCGGAATGATCCGCGGGACCGGAGCGCCCAGTCCAAACCTCCGATCCGCGCGTCGACCGGGGCGAAGCCGACCGGATCACGCCGAGGTTTGAGGGTCCCGTGAACTCGTGGGCGGTCCCGTTCGCCGGGGGCGCTGAGGTCTAAAGTGGATGTGACCATTCTCGGTGCCATGGAGGTGCGGACTCTTGGAGTCGGTTGGAAGACTGAAGGCGTCGAAGGGATGTTGGAGACTGGATGACCAGGCGTGCTGGGCATGGCTCCATCCCACCACTGATCAGAGCACGCATAAAGTGTGATATATAGAGTCCTAGAGGGAGCTACAGTTTGGGTTTGCACGTGTTTCCTGTTGGATTAAATTTGTCTTACTTTCACCTACTTCTGGATGTCGTTGTCTCAGCATTGGTTGGATCAGTTGGATCACTGACCATTCCATTCCTTCCAGGGCTAGAAGCCAGAAGGAATATCAAGCAATCAGGTTTCACAAAGATGCAAGGACCCTACTAGGGGCTCCTGGCATCGCTACTAGGAGCAAAGGGCATCGCTACTAGGAGCAAGGATGCTGCTAGTAGCTCCTGGCCTTACTATATACTGGAACAAGAAGCTACTAGGAACAAATCTATAATGCAAACTGCCCTTCCGATGCCGCATTGGACGTGTTCCCTTCGGCCCTTCGGCTTTGGAAGGGCCGTTGGACGAAATCCCCAGGTGGCAGCCAATGGCGACTTAGCCAACTGGATCATTCCGGGGAAGATGGTCAAGGACTGTCCGCACATGGCACTGATGTGCTGTCAGTTGCAGTTCACGCATTTGGGAGAACAGTCCGGGGCAAGAACCCGCAAGGCATGAATGATCACCGAAGGAGAGGGTCTCGGCGTTGAACGGGTAGCCTGAACTGTTAGTTGCTGTATAGTTCAATCAAGCCGTGCCTCTCTAAGCTTATCCCATCACATATCAATCTGGATTTGGATGTTTTTTGTGTTCAGTTTGTGTAGAGTTAGGATGGACTTAGGCGAAGCATACCCTCTGACCCTCTGAAAATACATTGTACTTAAAATTATGTCTTTGGATAGCATGCTTTTGTGCTACCTCCGAAGCCTACCCCCGAAGAGTAACCTCCGAAGCACTAAAAAGCGTCCCAAGAACATACACCGTAACGCCGTATCACCCTTTTTGCGTTTTGACCGAATACCTCCGGCTGCGAACGAAGCTCGCCTTCGACCGGCCCGTCCATCGGAGGGCATGGGCGGAGCCATGGACTTGGTCTCCAGCGACTCCAAGGTGTTGGTCGCACCGGGGCCCAGGGGACAGGTGGAGGGCGACACGACGTGACAGGAGACAGGTGCCGCTGGTGGAAAGAGGTGGAGACAGTGAGATGACCTGAGATGTTTGAAGAGGAATCAGACTAGTAGTAACATGTGCATAGCTAGTAGTAGCTTCTTGCTACTAGTAACGCAATAAGACATGTAGTGAGGTTTGCTCTCTCTGTAGGCCACAAACCGAGTCCGAAGACGAAAGGCGAAGCAGTGAAGACAGCCGGGTTGATGACATTCTTGCTTTTGTTGGCTAAAGAAATCAAGGATTCAATATTGTTCAACTTGTCAAATTATCCACTGGCCTGCATGAGGTCATGGAACATGTGGCGAAAGGCAACAAGCACAAGCTTAAGCCCAGTGTGAAGCTCAGACGGCTCCAGCATACTTCGGCGTTCGCCTTCTACTCAAGGACAAGGAGCCTGAAGATCATTGAGTACTGGTTTGAGTTGGATGAACCGGAGATGAGAGGTAGTCTTTTTTGTGGATCCAATTCTCGTGAACATAGTTTACTTCCAGAACAAGAGCGGGCGGCTACTGGCCAATCAACAGTTGGTCCTCAAGGGCCGGGCATATCATGCAGCTCCGAGGTAGTGAAAAAGGGCTGGTAGTTTGGTGGTCGGAGGTGGTAGGTGAAAAAGTGGCATATGAATTGCAGGTACTTCGACTTCGTCCGTCTCTTTGAGAGCATGAGTGAATCTCTTTTCTGCCGCGCGTGAGGCTGCAGTCTTCCGCTGACGGGCCAACGGGTGACGGGGCTGCAGCATAAAACAGGTAAAAGAGGATTGTGACAGACTAGACCTGTCCAAGGGGTCCCATGCTTCAACACTCTGGGACTCTGGGTTAGTGAGGGATCCCATGCTTCAAAAGAGTTTTTTCAGGGACAAGAGATCATCACATTGTTAAGAAGTCACATGTTGATGCCTCAGAAGGATTTCATGTAATGTTGACGTATGATTAATCAATAAAGGGACCCGGAATAAAGTTAGCCGATCTGCGTCCTGATGAATACAGGGACCCGAAATAAAGTTGGCACTTGTTTTAATGATTATTGTTTTAATTACTTTGTTTTTATTTGTTCACAATCCCATTTCCGGTAGTTGAGCCACTATCTTTGCGTGCATCCCCGATTGATTTGCTTGGAATGCCAATGTCGCAATTGGAACTGGGTGAAAAGGCCTTCATCCTGGATGTGATTGGCCTACCTCTGCCTAAAAGGGTTGCAGTCCATGTGGAAAAAGAGGGCACCTTCCGATCCATCATCACAAAACTGGGTATCATGTCGACTTGCCAGGCAAGAAGTACTTTGTGCTATTTGGAAGTCTCGAATCACGGTGAAGTGAGATATTGGATGAATGATCAAGTCGTTGATGAACTACATGGTACAAGTATGCTGCTCCACATCTCCACTGTTCAGGCTTGCAGAAATGATGAGCTGGATAGAGGACTTGGGCATCTGCCAGGAGACGAGACGACATTGTTCCAGCCAGCCCTCCACCAGAGGATGATGCAGCTTCCAACTACCTCTGAAACCAATGCTGGGGGGGACCAATTTGAGACGATGATACAGCAGAATCTTCGATGGCACGCGCTGAGAAGAAGGGTTGCAAGATTGACGCGATTCCTACAATTTGATCATCTGCGAGAAGAGGCAATGGCCTTCCGAGCTGCTAGAGGCCGATGGCCTGATATTGTTCTCTGTGGCGTTATTGCAGATGAAACTTCCTTTTGGAACCTGGAGATTGATGGAATGCTCGAGTCAGCATCCTTTGACAAAGAAGAGGTGCAAACACTGCTGCGAGACTTTGTTGAACCCCCCGTTTCCCAAGAAGGAAGAGTGACAATGGCAGCTGTCAAGCCGCTACCCACAGTACATGAACAGAGTGGTCAGGACGACCTCTATGTCATAGTTGGAGAGGAGCTTCGACCCGATGAAGTCCTGGCTTTGATAGCGGTATGGGACTCTCGAGTTGAATCGGAAGTTGAGCTCCATCCTGTTGAGCTCCCCCCTCGTATGACGACTGCGGCACTATTGCAGTCCTTTGGATTGGAAAGCCGATGCTCTCTTCCCTTTTTGGACTGTGTTGTTTCTCATTCCGGCATGGAGATGCCCAGAATCTTCTCATGGACACCATTCCAAGGTATGAAGATTGTCATTGAGATCAACGTGAGGGCATGCCCGCTGCCTGAGGTGACATTCCGCACTCTCATACGACCGCCATCAACGACAGACGATGAGGAATCTTCCTTGATGCAACTACATACTTTGGTTGATGAATCATTGCACAGAGTATGGGATTATGCACGGGGCTGGACCCGGGGTCGACTGGATATGACAGCATGGTTGTTCCTTCAAGGAGAGCGGAAACAGCCCTTTCCTTCCATTGCTGTATTTGATGTTCAGAGACGCCTTTTTGTGGAAGGTGAGCCTGCACATGGGACTCCTCTGAGCTATATTGCTATTGACCCTCCACCGATTTTCATTGCCTTGCCGAGACCGCACATCTTCGCTGTGCAAGCACGTGCCCAGACAGACTTCGCTGTCCTGTGCCGAGTACAGGGGGACCGGCATGACCTCCTGGCAATTCTGGTGGATACTGCGCACGCCCCAGTCGGGGTTGATATACTCTTTGATCTAGCTGTGCTTGGTCATGGATGTAGAGAATCTGACCTATGCTATGCCATCATCTCTGGTGATCGCAAAGCTTTCCACCATGATGTCGAATTGACTGATGGGATCTTTGTGCAGCTATTCCTGTGGGAGTATGAGGCAGAACAGAGCACCTCGTGCGGTAGTTCATCTCCCCGCACAGAAGGGTCACGTCATGACAGCTCCGATGAATCTATTGTTCCATCTTCCTTGCATAGAGCGAATGAGGAAGTCCATGATGAAACAAGCATGATGCAGTCCCAGCAGAGGCTTGTACCTGATGACGGATGCACAGCCCGCTCACAAGAGAGATTGATGCGATGTTCAGAGATGGGACTGTCCTGGTTGGTTCCTGCTCGACTCCATCAACAGCAAATGTACAATCTCTGGAAGTACTCTGGTCGAGACCATGTAAGAGAGTATTTCATTCGACAGAGGTACCTTGGGTCGGGCCTGAGCATCCGAGGATGGTTGTTCCACGACCACCAACAAACCACGGGACAACCTTTTGCCTGGGGTTTGACTGACAGTACTCCTTGGGCGCATCAGACAGGACATTTACTTCGTGGAACTGTCCTTGATGATGTCCTCATGTATGCGGTGGTCCCACAACCAGAGGACTTCCAACTGCCTGATCCGGCCAGTATGCAGATCATCATCCCATCAGCAATTACGGACCATCTATTCCAGGTCTTTGTTGTGGAACATGCCTTCAGTGGAACACAGACCAGGCAAGCACTGCGTCTTGAGGTCCCGATCACTGTTCGACAAGTTTTCCAAGCCAGTGGGTACGGATGCCTGTGTGATGTGGAGACTCGTTGCACGTTGCAATACATGCATGGAAATTGCCAGAAAGTCTTCACGGATGAAGAGGATGTCTTACTGCCCTTTGCCTCTTTCGTGAGGATCATGGTGCATTGGATACCTTCCCTACCGTGCGTGCCATTCCAGCCCTTGGCGACGAGTGATGTTGTTGCCAGACAGGTGGCGGCGGCTGTGCATCCCGCTGAGACCTTTTCCTATGACCGGGCGGTCCGCCAGGCACGTGAAGTGATGGCGCACGTGGCAGGAGACGATGAAGAAGATGATCCCACTATGCTCATGGTCAATGCGCACCAGGCTCGAATGTACCTCCTCGAGTATGCCTCGGCCAGACAGAGACAAAGGAACTTCGATCTTGTGGTCCATGTTCTCTTCCATTCATTCGGGCACACGAGAGTGTCAGCAGCTTGCTGTCCACAATGGCTATTGCAAAATGATGTACCGATTGCTAGATTTCTTGACTGGTGCCAGGAGTACACAAGGAGGTTGGACGAACGCCATTCAAGACTCTTTCATGCGGTCGGTGAAATCTACCAGAACATGCCGACATTGATTGTTGTCTATTCGATGGGAGATTTCACTATCCCTGTCATTGTGCAAGTTCTTGACCCTGACTCCACGAGCCCGCCCTTCGTCGCTGTCTACCTTGCTGGACCTAGTGTCTGTGTTGCGACAGTGGTTGGATGGATCCGTGAGCAGATGGAGCTGGCCCCAGCTGTCTTCAGATACAATGGGAGGCAGGTTGCGTGGCGTGAGGTCCTTACCCTAGTGGCAGGAGGGATTTTGCAGATACGGATCCTTAGTGATGAAGAGCTGAACAACCCTGACACCTTTACACAAGAACCAGGACCTGGGATGACTCTGACATTTGAACCTCACAACACATGGTCCTCTACTGGGTCGAGCCTGCAGTATGATATACCTCAGCATACGCTTGGCCTTGATGGCAGATTGAGACCCTATGTGCCTGCTCCATATCCTGCAGATCAAGAAGGGTATCCTCTGCTGCGACAAGAGGATGAGGAGACCACTTTCATCCAACAAAAAATGACTTCCAGGTCAGTGCTGGTGGAGGAAGAGCCTCAGGATGAATCGACGAATAACTTTGTTTCTGATGCGATTCCTTGGATGTTGGGAGACAACACTGCAACTCCCACTCATGGGAACCAGGAACATTGGCAATACCATGGGACATCAAGAAATGCTTCTGGATACGGCTGGTCAAGGTTTGGACGGTTTCCTCCTTGGATCCAACGGCCCCCTGATCGAGACCTCCAGTTGCATTGGACGCGATCCCCATCAGAAGGCTTACGGCCACCTGGAAATCCCACATGCTGGATGAAATGCAACCTTGATGAAATGGATGAATGGGCGATGGTGGGAGGAGTCGAATTCGTGACTGATTTCAATCCCTCTACCTGTCATGAGGGACAAAATATGGGCTGTCTGCCTGTCGAAGAAGATCAACCATGTAAGATTTCTATCTTCGAGGCATTGCACCCTCGAGACACGACTACCTCCCCAGCCTTCCAGGTTGAAATGCCAAGCTTCGCTTCCTGGATTGAGGCTGTTTTTGTCAAGCGACAACTTCCGAATGTGCCGTGGAATGAAATCACGGAGCACCTAGACACGGACATAGCGGATGAATTTTCCAATGTCAGTCTGGAACGACCCCAAGATGTACCGTATGTTGAGATCTATACCGATGGTTCCTTCTCGAAGGGCAAAGACAAGCTTGCTTCATGGGCATTCGTGGCCTTTTGCCAGGTCGGCACCCAGAAGTACATGCTAGGAATGGATTACGGACTTGTTGACCCAGACCCACTGTCATCCGCATGGACGGGGGCAGGGTCCTCGACAGCCAGAGAAGGAGAAAATGACGCATTGATCCGAGCCTGTGAATGGTCCTTTGCTATGGGCTATGAAGTGCCCCACTATTTCTATACTGATTCCACTGCAGCTGGGTATGGGGCCAGCGGCGCTTCTGGAACATCAGTAGATGATCTACAAGGACGCCTGAGTAGAAGCCTTGCGAAGGCATTGGATACATGTCTGCATGTGACGGAGGTGCATCGTTCCCATGTCAAAGCCCATAGTGGTATTTTTGGCAATGAACTGGCAGACGCTGTCGCAAAATGGGCATTCCAGCAACAACCTGAGGAGGTGCATCCACGTCCTGACTATACGGCATTACTTTGTGGACGCCGCATGGCAGTGGAGTTCCTATGGATGTTGTTTACTCCATTTTCTGACCAAGCCAGCATGACACTTCCCCGA